AATTTCAATATTAACCCTCACGAATGGGAGGAAACGGCGTTCGCCAAAGTCCTCATCATCTTTCTTTTTGTCTAAAAGGCAAGATTGATACTGATACAGATGGGCTTCGTGTAAGGATCGCTGTGCCATCAGCGTACATTGCTAGTGTAGTGTCGGGTGTGCTGGCAATGTCGTTCACATAAATGTTAAAAAGGGCGGCTCCTAAAAGGGATCCTTGTGGGACGCCAGCTGAGATAGCTCGACATGTGGAATGTGTGTTAATGAGGCGGATGACAATACGTCTACCTGAAAGATAGGATTTAATTATATGCGCAATGTAATCTGGAAATTGCAGATTGTTGCTGTAGTTTGCTCCTAAATCCAAACTGTTGTGGGATGATGATGATCTTATTTACCTTCAAATGATCCTGGATTCTTCTCTTCATATTTTTAACAATATGTAAATAGATATCTATAAATGCGCAAAATTAAATAAAGTTTAATCAAACAGTTAATTACAAATGAACAGCATCTGTTATCTCAGATTACTTAAAAGTAATTTTCTGCCTCCTTTTAAATGTGCGCTTTTTGAACGCAGTGAAAAAAATGACAACGTAAAAAAATTCTTCCTTTTATGTTCTATCCATTCATGTTCAATAAATCAGGCCGAGTAGAGTATGCGTGTTTTATTACTTAAAAAATCATAATGATCAAATTTTTTTCTCCCACCTCACCTCAAGAAATTCAACAAGTCATCAAAAATCTGAATATGCACGCGGCTATGATGGAATTTCAAATAAAGCTATCAAAGAACTTCCACGCAAATGCAAAATTCTCATTGTGAATGTCATCAATGTATATATAAGAAAATCCTACTTTCCACAGCAATGGAAGCACGCAATTATTATCACCTTCCGCAAACCCAACAAAGATCCTAAAAAATCCTACCAATTATCGCCCGATAAGCTAAACCATGTCTGGGCAAGATCTTTGAAAAAGTTATCCAGGTACAACTCAACGATTATATTTCGAAAAATAATGTCATCCAAAAACAACCAGTTCAGCTTCAGACGCGGACATTCAACCAAAGAATCTCTAGCTTCTTTCTCACTATAGCTTCTTTGATTCAACTACTACGCAACTAGAGGTCAAAACTTCTCGGTTGATGCTTCAAGAACTACTAACGATATCTCGTGCGCAGTTGCGTCTAGTTCATGGTCGTGGCCTCCGCGGTTTAAACGAAGCAAAGGAGGGGTCCGCAAGAACAGCACGAGGAAAAAGCAACAACTTCATATAATAGTATATATATCGTTGGGGGAAAAAAGTTTCTTATCTCACTTACTTTCCTACTTAATAATGTAAACAAGAAAGACACACAAGCGCCAATACTGTTATTTTATTTCAACTACAAAACATTATGACAGCATTAATTAAGTGGTACTCCCGAATTCTTTCAATTCACCCATGGAAAACCCAGCTCTGTACGACAGGTGCCAGCTTTTTTTTATTTAGCTGTACATTTCACATGAATACCTTGTCGCAGATTTTTATTGTTCATATTTTTGTCGATATTACTTTCATCTTTGTTAAATGTGTTTTGCTGTAGCCCTGTAAATCTGAATAGTCGGAAATGTACTAGTACTGTAAAAAGTTGGTATAGTTTCGTACGATGTAGAGTTTGTTTTTTCCTTTAGAGATAGAGATATATTTCATTTAGAGATAGAGATTTTTTTGTTTCAGTAGATGAGTAAAAGAAATGTTAGTTACTAGTTTTAAATGTTTTGTCTTCAGAGTAGCTGTATGTCATTAAACAAGGGATAACAGATTTGCGTTTGATAATAATTTAGCAGCATCTGTTAGCAAAGAATTCTGATTTTTTTTTCTTCACTTTCCTTTCGTTACTCTCAACTTCATGCTTCTCAACAATCAGAGTATGCATTCTTTTTGTTATTCCCAACCTTATGCATCTCAACAGTGAGAGTATGGATTTAGATTAAATTATCTTCTAAATGCAGTAGAGCCTTATTAATCTAGCCAAAAATTTGGATTTTAGCGGTTCAGGTTAAATAATTTATAATGCAAAAAAATATATTGCAAATTTCATAATCAAGGACTGCTTCCGACATGTTTATTGTATGCTTATGTAAACAGAAAGTCAACACTCCTCCATTTTCATCATAATTAACTATTGCTGACACACTGTGTACAATTTCCACGTAATTTAAAATTTGATAACCCATGTCACCCTCATCCTTGGCCAGGAAGGGTCCACTAGCAGCTGAGCGGTAAAGTCTCCAAACACTGATAATTTCATCCAGCATTTGAATTCCAGTGAATTGGCTGACTGCATGGGCGTTTTCATGGTTTTCCCCTTGTATAATGTGTGTGCGAGGCAGTTTTCCATCGTAAGTCCGCCTTGAAGGCTTCTTCCTTAGGCAGATAGCTCTCAAGTACTTTGCCATAATTAATTAAACCAAGGCCAAGGTTGAAATTTAAGCATCATCTATGATGCACTCGTAACCAGGGACCAATTTTTGTTATTAAATTAACAATAATTGATATTTTGGAAGGTGTATGGGTTAATGCGATGTGGATTAGCAAAGTCTTGCTGTATTGTATGCATTACACAATCAATCATATTCAGTTTTTTAGATATTATACTTTCTTAAAAAGTGAAAACAAAAATGTTACACAATGCATATTTAATTTTGTGAGCATTATTTTAATTTAGGTATACTTTCTCATTTTGATGTATAGAGTTGCTTACTTTTCAGAATTTATCTTAGAGAAAATTAATATACGAGTATTATTTTAAAGTTTATTACAAATTACTTAGGAAATATGTATACAAATATCTCTGTCAATTTTATGCCATTTTGTTTTTATAATTTTACAAAAGACCTGCATTACTATGTGTTTCTACTTACCAAAAGAAATCCAAAAATGATTTTTCTTGGTTACGAAAACAAAAGTCATAAAGCAAACATAGAATTCATTCAATGCTAATTTTATTTCTAGAAAAATTGTCCAGAATTGCCTTTTTAAGTTAAAGATAATTAAAATTTCAGTATGTCTTGCTTTAGTAGTCTTGACAAATGTAACAACAGATCCTTAAACTGTATGTGGTTACCTATATTTTAGGAGCATAAATTTGTCACCTGAGTCAGACATGGGTGTGAACACTAAGAAGTTAATATTGAAAGATCACCTTCAGAACATATTTGTAGAAGGTTTAGAATGTCTGTAAACAACTGTGTAATTTAAAACAAAAAGTGTGAGGCTAAACTTTCAAGCATTCCGCTCAGCTGGCCTTGATAAATACTATTATCTCTGTGCATCAAGATTAAATTTACTATATTTATGTATTAGATGCTACTAATGAAATTAGTACAACATAAGCTGAGTGAGAGTCTGTTTGGTATAATTATCAGTGCCCACTGATTTGGTCATTCCATCTATATGATTCCTAGCAAATTCCAGAATTCAGGGATGAGACTCATTCAGGAATGAGTAATGTAGAAAATCATCAATTAATTATGTCCCTATTGTTATTTCAATGGAGTTCTATCAAAATTGATATCATTGTAATTCTATTGTTATAATGTACTTTTCTGTGGGCCACTGCACACATTCTTTTGAATTATTAGACTATTGTTAAGATTAAACAGATGTATTTAAGATGAAGACCTTCTGTTTCTCTTTGTGTTTAAAGTGCAGCTAGGTGTGCAGGGTAGGTTCAGAGTGTAGCAACATAATGATGCATATGTAGTGGAAATCAGAGAAGAGGAGAAAATCACTTGGTTAATCTTCGGATTATGGTAACTTGGCGACTTTTTGGTGAAAATTTGAAGACCAACCCTGCTACAGCATTCTGCTAGTTTTGTTTTCACGAAATAAAGGCATGTTTTTTTTTTTAACTCAACATTTTTTCCAATAATCTGCTAGCTGAGTTATGCTTATACTAGAACTTTTATGGAACAAAAAATTCTTAATCATGACGAAGATTATGTGCGAAATTGGGAGAAAATGCAGAATCGCAAACTGCTTGTCGCGTTTTTAAGAATTGCACATACACTGTATTCATGTACACGTCGACCTAGTTTCACTTAAAAAAACCTAATCACTTTCTTCTATCTCTATACCATTCTTGACAGTGAACACTTTCATAATAACTGCAATTCAAATACTATTATCTCGGGTATCTGTAGCATTGTTGGTGCAATCCCAGTGCAGTCAGAAAAGAGACCGTTGAGCCTAATGGCAGGATAAATAAATTTAAGAACTGGTTCACTTCTTAAATGTGATAAAATTAGGTATTGAGTTGCTGTAAATTGTGTAAATAAGTGTTATAATTCAATTTTAATAAATGGTTTTCTGAGCTAAAATTATTTTGGGAAGTAGTTCTGCTAAAAATTGCTGAATCCTACCACTCGTTATGCCATTTTGACGACTCCTGTTTAGTCTAACAACAAGTAAATCAATTGTAAGAAATATGCAGCAGCATAGAACACAGTATAAAATAAGAATTGATCAAACATCATTATTGAATGAAGTACAGTAAAGTAACAGTAGACAATAAAGGATCACTATAGTAATGAAATGGAATCACGAAGGAGTTATAAAAACTACAGCCCAGCCTGAAAATGTTCAAAAATAAATAAACAAATAAATAATAAAAACCACAGAACTGCTTTTTATATGTCTTTTCCAGCTTTTTTATTTAATTGCATTTTCAGCATATTAAAAAAAAAAAATATCTGAAGTCTTTCGTATTTTAAATTACGTCCAAACGGGTGTTTTTTTAACATTCTGTGTGTTACCTTTATTTATTAAATATCATGTTCTTTGCACTTGAACCATAAAATTCAGTTCAAGAGCAATATTTCAAAATAATTTTAAAATGAGCATATCTTTAGAATTTCCGGTACACAGTCTTACGCGCTGGAGATAAAAACGTTTTTTCTATACAACGTTGCCATTGCTAGCTTTGAAATCCTTGAGTTTGTTATTCAAAAATTTGTTAAAAGTTTTACAAAATATGAAATTGATAATAAAGGAAATTTCAAATTTTCTCTTCCAAATGTGCATATTTGTGGGAAGATTATGTTATTCAAAATATAATACAGAGTGATAATATTTGGTGGCAACAATTTGAAAAGTGAAACAACACTTTTAGTGAATTGATGCAAAAATGAAATTAATAGTCCTACTGGGCAAATTGCCCCTTTGGACTTATCATCAGTAACTTCAGTGGATACAATAAATCAAACCACTTGGCCTTTTTAGAAGTAGTAGTTATAGACTTCACATTTGCCTCAGGAAAACTGATTGTCACAAAGTAGATAGGTTTCATCTGTCTACTCTGTAACAATTTGGAACTGATCTGTTACTGTTTCAGTATTGTAATACACACAAACATCGAAACTGAATGATTTGAGAAGATGGGAATAATGAACTGAGGTACCTGGTTCAAAATCCAGTATCAACCCATTTCAGCATCCTTGGAATTAATTGGTGTGTTGGGTGGGTGCTAGATCAGATGTCCTAGAATCAATATAAAATTTGTTTTGCATCATATGCTGCTGGGAAAATGGCACAAAAGACCTACATATATATAACAAAAGTTTATGGAAAATCTTTCTAAAAGGGTAAGGGCGAGTCGTAAACCTGTTTTGTATTGATACGATTTGAATTTTAGAATAGCATACAGTATCTGTTAATAATTAAGTAAACAATACTACTTTTATTGTGTATTAGTTCAAATTCTTTTGTTATTAAAACAAGTTTTTTTTATGTGTATGTTAGGAGAAGAGCGAAATTGCTGCTATGTATATTTTATTAGAAGTATGCAGGGTGAACTGAATAAGTGCACAAAGCTTTAGGGGGTGATAGAAGGCAGCTCTACGAGCAGTATTCGTCATAGAATGTATGGTCAGAACGCAAGTGGTGAGAAGTTTCTACTGTAGGGTAGTTTTCTACTGTCACATTCAAAGAATTAACACAAGAATGAGAGGAGATACTTAAAAAAAAATTTTTTAACAGGAATGTAATTGATGTAAATTCTCAAAGAAATTGCTCAAAAGACGTTCTACTAGCTGTAATGCAGGCATCACACCTGCGGGATAGGGACTGACCCACATTTGCGAGAACACCAAGCATTTCTTGAGTATCGCCGGCAGCAACGGCATTCCTGGTGACTAGACCCATATTGGTTTCAATGCGGGGACTTGCAGATTAGGCTTTTCATATGCCACCACAGGAAAAACTCCAAACATGAAAGATCCGGTGATCTTGATGGCCAAGCTATGCAACCACTGCAACCAACCCATTGACCTGAAAATTTTATGGTTCATATAACCAGCAATCCACAGTAGAAAATACTATTGGGTTGTGAGGACCGACCCCTTTTATGCCATTTACAATGCCAGCTAGTGGTTTGCCGTTTGCATTCTGACCATACATTCTTCAACCCCTTCTATCAACCCCTAAAGTTTTGCCCACTTGTTCAGATTCACCCTGTATATACTCTAAATGGTGCTTTCATGATATTGCCGTTTTTTAATTTAATTTTTAAGCTTTGTTTAAATCTGATTTACTTAAGTTTGATATTTTAAAAATGCTATTTCTGTGCTATTTAATCATTCAAGAGTATGTGTCATTTGCAGTGTTTAAATTAATGCTCTAAATAGTTTCATAGTATATTTTTGAAAACAAAATCTGAATACTACTATTGTTATTGTGGTGTTTTAACATGTTAGAAAATGTGGCCTAATTCATATTAATGTTCTTTTACTGTTAGGATTTTTAATGGGATCTAGTGACTTAATTGCACAAACAGCAATTGAAAAATGTGAACTGAAAGGAATAGAAATCTCCAGAGTTGCAAGATTTGCATTTCTTGGTGCTTGTTTTGTGGTAAGCTATTTACTATATTTCTGTATATTATGAATCCAAGATAATGACATTTCTACTGTAACTTCACTGAAATCCCTGGATGGAAGGAATTAAAACAGGTTCTCATTTAGATTTATTTTGAAACTTATAAGTGAAATTCTAGGTTAGATCTTATTATAACCTAGAATTTCATGTGTTAAGTTTTAAAAAAAGTCCAAAAGGACAACTTGTCTTCATGTTTTCCATGTCAGGTGTTCGGCGTTGCTGCACTATAAACTTCTTAAAAGACTGAATAGGAGACACAGCCCAGAAGTAATTTGTAGAAAAGCATTTTATGAAAAACTGTATATGTCTGTATTGTTTTTAAATTACAAAATCATTGTTAATGATAAAAATATCTTTTATTCCAAATGGGGGGAAATAAAAAAAATTGCAAGAGTGTATATATTTAAAATGATTCCATTAGTTTTAGCATGTTCCTTCTGTAATTAAGTTTCAGAGAGATAATGTAGAACTAAGGATGTGTTTTTGTCTTTTCCTAGGATGTGATAAAAGCTATGTATCTTTAGAAATATGACCAATGTTAAATAAAAGTTGAGGCCTCATGTATTTAGTGGATGTAGCCTTTTTTGTGTGTGTGGTACACAGTGGTGTAAATAAGGCTATACAAGGGATGCCATCGCATAAGGACCCAAAGGCTTAAAAGACCCTTGAATGTCCTGCTGAACTACATTTATGTGTATATATAGTATATGATGCAGATATAACAGCTGAATTCAGTGTTGCACTAAATACCAAAATAAATAAATGAATAAAAAATGGCTGTATGCTTTAGTTTTGATTCCCTTCTAGGGGATAGCTTTCATGTCATTAGCTATAACTGGAGCCAGACTGTTGTTCGTGTTTATTGTGAGAAGTCCTGAATTTGTTAAGGCTAGCACGTGATAATATCTGCGAAAATTAAAACATAGGAAGTCAGGCCCCCCCTTAAAGTTCACTAGAAGTCACAGAAATTCCAGTTTTGGGAAGTGATGTCAAATTTTGTCATATAAGAAAAGTCAGTTGGCTGAGGTAAAAATGACAGCTGATCTTTGGAATATGGTAACTGGTAGTTTGGCGACATTTTGGAGGCGATAAAGGTTACTACTAGCTAGCTATATTCTGTGTTGTGTTAAACGTGACGTTAATGGACAAATTACAGTTCTGTAATCGGAAAAGGGGGTTAATTTGGAAAAGCTTCATTGTGTGTTGTGTGAAATACTGTTGATTAATTTTCGGATTGTATGGCACTATGTAAAGTGAATTCTATATTTTTAATGCGTTTATCTGATAATAATAATAAGTTGAGGTTATGTGAAAAGAAGGATATTACAAGTTTAAATGGCGGTGCAAGAAATATGGTGAAAATGGACATTTTGTGAAAAGGAGTGTCCTTACATTTTCACAAACGTGTGCATCAAAAAGTGTACGTGGTTTGCTGAAAGTAGTTTGAGTATAGGTGAAATTTTATTAATTTCTTATTACTTGGTGAATAGACTTCCAGTTGACTACTGGATTTAGGATTTAGAAATTAGCAGTAGTACTGCAGATTCGGTAAGTTAGTATTTTTAATCATTTGAGGATATTATTTTTATGCATTTTTATGGCCTAAATGAATACTGATCAAATACCATCAAGTCGGAAATTACAAATGATTCTAAACACAGGTGATACTGAAAAAGGGGAGACTGAGCTCTTTGGAGTTGTGGGAAAATGTGGAGGTTGTTTAATTAACTTCTGTGCATTCCATTTTATACAGAGAAAAAGAAAAATTTAATTCTGTGAATGAATGCATCTTTTTTTTACTATGAAAATAGAATATTGAACCATAAATTGTATGGCAAGTAACATCTTTTTTAAAAAACATAGGAGTAGAAAGACATATTCGTTACATCGATGGATTTGTAGTGTAAATATTGAGTTTTGCCTTTTGAATACAGTAAGACCCCGCTTAAGGCTGTTTCGGTTTAGCACTCTTTTATTTCAACCCGGTGATTCCACGAAATCGCTCGCAGCATACGGGGATTCCTCGAAATATTATGCAGCGATAGGTTTCAAATACATATCCGAAAGAGTGTACTTGTATTTCTTGTTTGGTGCGGTAATGTACAGACATATTTTGAAAGGGTAAATGTGGAAGATGTCGAAGAAATAATTCAAGAAGCAGCGGCTAGTCTTTCTAATGATGAGCTCAAGGAATTAACTGAACAAGAAGAAAGAAGAAAACAAAAATGTTGACAGCAGTGATTCAGAAGAAGAGCAAAAAGAACTTTCGATGGCGTTTGTAAAAAGGAGTTTGTCTACCATAACTGAAATAATGGATCAATTCATTGAAAATGATCCGAATTTTGACAGGAGCTCAAAAGTAAGGCGTGGTGGTAGAGATGCTCTATCTGTTTATGAAGAACTTTTAAGAGAACAACGCAAAAGAAAAAGGCAAACAACATTAGATGCTTTTGTCACAAAAAGGCAGAACACTGAAAACGCGAAAGGCTAACTAAATATGACTGACTTAGAATTTTTTTTTTGTTTTTTTTTAAGAATATTCGTTTTGTTATTTATATTTTGTTTTTATTTTTGCAAGAAATAATAATGTGGTATTAATTTGGGCTTTAAGAAATAAATGTTTGGTTTTATTTTTATTAAAAAACATACTTTTTAAATTCAATACCTAACCAATTTCCTAGCCATCTTCCCCTAACCCCAATATTTACATGTAAAGATAGCCTCGTTTAGCGCTGTTTCGCATTACGCTCTACTTTGATGGAACGTATCCCCCGCGTTAAGCGGGGTCTTACTGTACTATGTTACATGTATACAAAATAACCGAGAATGTAGTTGTAACTCAAGTGTCTTTCAACCTTTTCATGTCTAAGGACCATTTGCCAAATTACAAATACATTATGGCATTAATTCTAATGCCATGTAAACATTTAATTGTTTTTGATTCGTGACTTGTATAATGCAAATTAGATTGCAGAAAATTCTTAAGAATGAAGTTAATCATACGGAAAAATACATTATTGATGTAATTTTTGGTTATGTACATATTAGTTAATATGGAATCCTTAAATTATATATATCTATATGTATAGGCATATATGAATGGAACAAAATAATGTAACAAGGTATTATTACAAAATGCCTAAAAATAGGTATAATAATTTTCTATTATACTGGTATTATTTTATATTTATCTAATTATTTTGTGTATTATTTTGTTTCTGTTTATTTTGTTATTATAATCGAATAATCAATAGATATTTTTTGAAGTATAAATGAAAGAAGTAACTAGGTATGATTCTGCTACTTAATTTGGAGTGAACTTGTAAAAATTAAAAGAGAAATTGTGGTATATTACTTTCAGTTCTCAATTTTCAAAACATATCACTTGGAGTGTTTAATTTTATTCATATATTTAATCTGTTACTGGCATTTCCATTTCCAAACTCCAAAAATCAGTCCTACTACAGTCAAAAGTCTTTAATCCGGACGTCCATAATCCAGACCTCAAAGCTACAAACTTTCTGTGCATGCGTCAACACATAGTGCATTAACGTGTGCACATAATACCTTTATGCATGCGCATATGCATCTACACATGCGCATAATATGTTTATGCATGCGCATTTAATGTATAACGGACGGTATAAGCTAAGCTAAAATTATCTAATTACCTATGTCAGTTAATGTTGCAGATTGTGTTGTTTCTTAATCTTCTAATTGGATCCAGCTTATTATTTTTTGCAGACTGTTAGAGCAATTTTATAAAAGTAAGCTGGAATTTTCGATTATGTCAAAAAGAATTTCCGATTCTGGAGCTACCAAAGGATCTACAAAGCGAAAGCATGTTCCGATGTCCATCAAACAAAAAGTGGAATTGCTGCAAAAAATGGATAAAAGGCATATCCTTTGATTCTCTAATCATTCCAAAATATGTTTATCAATTTCACGCTGCTCTACGGGGGGGGGGGGGGGGGGACGACGAGGTGCGCAATGAACTGGAAGTTGATCTGTCAGCACTATCCTTATCTTCAGGGCAGATGTTTTTATTTTATTCGGCTTATAATTCCTTACTAAGCGTAGTATTTCATCTCGATGTACTCCGTTTTTGATATGATTTAAATCAAATTCCGCTTCATCATAAATATCACGAATACACATCAAATAGTTTTCTGGTTGCAATTTTCTAATTTCGACTATGCGTAATGTATGCTTTACGCATCCGCGCGTTGAAAGAAATGTTTAATAAAGTAAACAAATAAATATTAAGCTTTTTTTTTTTTTTGTAAATTTTGATACCCTTTAGATCATAATTGCTCTTTATTTCATAAATTACGGTTTCATATTTTTAATTTTATAATTTCTGCATGCCATCTTACCAGATTTAAACTGATGATCTATAATCCGGAAAAACCGATAATCCGGAATTGCCGAACTCCCGACGAGTCCGGATTAAAGACTTTTGACTGTATTAAACTTAAAAAAGTTAAATTCATCAATATGAGTGATTCTTAGTTTAATATAATAAGCATTTAATTGGTTCACTATAAACGGCGTATCCCTTATGAAGTTGTTGCTGTCAAATATTAATCGCTCTGTATTATTTTTAAAGAAATTAAATAAGGATGATTCTGCATGTATGAATGTGTGTTTCTCGCATTTAGAAAAAAAATGATGGTACCTAGAGCCATTAAATTTTGAATAACCCAAACACCCAAACGTGCACCTGGAAGCCTGAATTTTGAATTTCCAATTTGTTTTATTATTTATTTCATATTTTGTACAACTAATGAATTTGAAAGCGAGCAGTGGCAATACTATTAGAAACAGAACACTTTTATCTCATTGCATGAGAATGCTGCCAGTTGAAAAAATATAAGATATTTATTTATTGTTCAATTTTAATTAACAAAGTCGTCTCAGTGAAAGCAATAAGCAATGTGTTGCCCCTGCTAGAAGTAAAATTCTTTTATCTTCCTCACATCAGCATGTTGCTATTCAGGAAAGCCTAAGATATTTTTGGTACGACTCTGATATATGATATATATTTAGATAGCAATATGGCAGCATGGAGTTTCTCGCCAAAAATATTTGGCAAGAAATTTGGCGCCTTGAGGGCGCATATCAGAGTAGTTCCATATTTTCATATTTAATCTGGAAGGTTAATGAATAATACTTTTTTATAACTATATTAGGTAACTATATTTAACCCTTTCAGGATGGGTGTCCCATATCCGCATTCCTTAAGAATGTCTCTTATAGCCAGGCGTCCCATCCACGCATCGCTAGAGGTTGCATTCAGAGGATGGGTGATGCGTATACGCATTTTAAGCTGGAACGTTTTTTCTGAAGGCCACTAGATCCTATGGTCATTACTTTTGAAATGAACGCAGTTTTAGTTCTTGACCTTGAGTTTGATATATTCTGCTTGACTTTGGTATTTTACTCATCAGCTCTTGCGAGGGAGGGGAAGGGAAAGCGTAAACAGAGGTGAGCTCTTTAAATCGCTACGTGCTAATGAAACATTCGCGTGTCTGATTTATATCCAATTCCTTTTTTTACTCTATTTTTCCCTTTACTATGTACGATCTTTTAGGGTTAGTATGTGGAGTACTGTTACGTTTTGCATTGCCTTCAGATATATTTCCGTTTCTTCTCTTTTTATTTCAGAAAGGCCTCACCTCCAGTCTATTATGGCGGGAAGGCGCTATTTATCAGAGGAAGTATACCCTCGTATGGTCAATGAACCATTTACTAACACAGATGAGAGTGATGATTCATTTTTTAAAGAGTTAGAAATGATACATCTCCCTGCTTCGAGATTTACCACACTCAGTCTTCATTTTAACTTTTGTTACTTCTTACTGTAAATAGTCTTTATTGTATTGTTTTATTAATTTTAAACTTTATTGATGTATTTTACCAATTAAAATTTTGGAATAATTTGGATAGCGCTTCCGAAAATTATTTTACAAGATAAGCAATTTTTTACTTATATTTTCATGTAAAAAAAAAAAAAAAAATGTTATTAAGTGCTAATTTTAACATATATAAGAACTCAAGTAATAATCTAAAATGATACAAAAAATTACAATGCTAGAAGTGAAACCTTTTTTTTTTTTTTCTGATTTTTTTTTTTTTAAATTGGGCTTAGCGACGCAAAAACTCTATCCTGTACGGTGACTGCCTTCGATTCCCTTCCGTCCCGCACGAGTGTCTTAAACAAAGGTGCGCCGTTGTGAAAAGTTTAAGGGTACCCTTTGGATTATTGCCTAGTTGTTTTATTTATGGTAACCTGAGTAGTTGAATATTATGGAAACCCTATTATGACACGAGTGGTTGCATGATTGCGGTGAATTTGACTTATGGGAAAATATTTGTTGGATGCAGTTAGGAAGTACATCGCATACTGTGTGCTGTGCATTGTAAAATGACTGCCGGTGGTAAAGTGGATGTTTGATGGTATACAAGGAGAGAGCAGAATTTTTTTTGGGGGGGGGAGTGGTTCAGGATAGAAGAAAAGATATACGTAAATTGTTCCGTTAGAAAGGGAACAGGGTTTGAGGAAAGTTTTTGGATGCTGTTAAGGAATTTTGTGTATCACATACTGAAGACATGGAAATTTCTAAATAAGTGGGTATTTCCTTTGTGTACTGCTTAGGTGCTATAAGATAAATTTCCTTTTTTTTTTTTTTTTTTTTTTTTTTTTTTGTTATTTCATTGTTTGATGTAAAATTTAGTTTATTGAGAAATATATATTTTTTGTTTGGCTCTAGTGTAGAAGTAGGTTCTCCTTTGACTTTGAAAATAGATCGATGTGTACATGGACAAAGCCAATTTTTGCCAAGGGGCACCCATAAATATATTTTTACGCTATATTATGATGCTTGTTGTACAAGTAACTTGTTTTTTTTTTTTTTTAAATAATATAGCAAATATAAATATACTGTTTTTAAATATGTTGTGATTTTGCTGTTGAACTTGAGTTTTATTTGGTGTAAGTTAGATGAACTACTTAATAAGTAAACTTAACACATAAAAACTTAATTTGGAAAAAAAAATTGTTAGCCATCTTACTAAGAAAACTGGATACTGATTTAAAGAACTGGTAAAAAAATAAAATGAATATAATAATGTATGCCAACACGTAACACTGTATCTAGAGTTCATATAACATATGCTGCAGTTCAGCATAAATAAAATGAATATAATAATTAATAAATGAATATAATAATATAATAATTTTATTCAGCATAAATAAAATGAATATAATAATAATAATAAAATAAAATTAATATAATAATGTATACGTAACACTGTATCTAGAGTTCATATAACATATGCTGCAGTTCAGCTTTAAAAATATTTTGTGATTTTGGTGTTGAACTGTATGTGGCATAAGTGGGAAGAAAACAATGCTTAATAATAAGAAAACAATGCTTAATAAAAAGAGGGAAAGGGAAACGGTTAGCAGGAATGAGTACAACAGCAGACTGGTAAACTGTGTGCTGAATGAGAGCATAAACCCTTTTGTTTGACCGTTAAAATCTAAAAACCTTTCAGATTTCTTCTTTTCTTTCTTTTTTTTTTTTTTAATACTGTAAATTTTTTTGCCCTTCCCTCCCCCCAAGAAAATTTTTTTGCATAGGGCCCTAAGAATTCTAGTTACGTCACTGCTCACAGTGAACTCTTTCTAAGTCAACCATATATTAATGCAGATGAGTTTGGTCTTCTGCAGAAGTGGTTACCTGAAAGAGTTAATATTCAGTACTGATGTCTATTTATGTTCTTAGAAATACTGGTCACTTTCAAGGATGCTCAAGAGGGCTCGCTATATTTTAATGAAATTTGTTTATACAAAATTTGGAAAATACACGGCCAAATATTTAGTTTTACATGTGTAAAATCATCTATCCTTTATAATTACTCATTGTCTTTCAGGAAAATAAACATTTTGTGTATTATTGGATGTTTTTGTTGCTTTATATTAATTCTGTTTTTCTCCTTCTATGACTCAAACTACCATTTGAAACAACAAATGTCCATTGTAAAATTATGAATTTGTTTAATTTTATGTGTTATAATTTAATCAAAGTAAACTTTATTTGCATAGATTCATAAACTTGATTGTTGTATTAATTTTTTTGTATAATTATAGGGTCCTGTTTTGCGTGTCTGGTACAATGTTTTGGAGAAAGGCATAGGTACGATTGGCCGAACAGCTGGTTTAAAAAAGATGTTAATTGATCAAGTTAGTTTAATAATTTTAATTTCTTATTGTCCTATGTTTTTACTGATTTGCAGTTTCTGAAAGCATTTCTGTGCAGCATCTGTGCTGCTTTTGTTCAAAGACTAGCAATGAGAAATAGTGTAAAAATTGAATGCACTTGCCATATTTGTTGTATATTTCTCTCCCTAGCTGTTTTTGTATTTATCATGTCCAAGGTATGGATGGGTAGTTACACCTTTGGTTATAGGCTTTTTTAATAATACATAGTATATAATAATTTATTTGTGCTTTATTATGTACTAAGTTCTTCCTTTAATTCTTCTTTCAGAAATAGTATACACTACATAATTTTCCAATTTCAATTTTCAAGAGATAAAATTAGCAAAAGAGGATAGTAATATGCGAGTAAATATAATATTTGTCAAGAATTTTATGAGAATTTATATTAAGTATTAAAAATAATACTTCCAAACATGACTGGCTTTATATGGTCAGAAGATTTTTTTTTTTTTGTTACTTACTTAAAATATATTAGTTTATAATTTAAAATATTTCGCTTTTTTACTTTCTTTAATCATGTAAATATCATTTTAATGAATGGAAGTTTATGGGGAAAAAAAAGACAAAAATGAGTAATTCTACAAATTTAGCTAATAAATGCTGTTTAAATGTCTTCATGAACAGATCCAACAAACCATGCCACTCAAAGTGTTAAGTTAGCATTATCCTACTTATCAACTGAAAAAAAAATTAATTAAAATACAGAAAAAAAGAAAGGGAGAAAGGAAAAAAAGCAGACAAACTTGATTAAGGATGCATTTACTTCCTTATTCTCAAAAAAAAAAAAAAAAAAAAAAAAAAAAAAAAAATGCAGATGAGAAAAAGCAGGCAAGAAGCTTAAGTATACAGTAACTTCTCTTTTTGTTCAATTAAATGCAAATCTTTTTTTTACCTAAAGGAAAATTTGGTAAAAATGTTTTTGTAAAATTTTATTATTTATACAGTTCTATCTTGTTTATGCAATAACAATATTAATTATTATTTTAGGCTTAAAATACTGTTTTTGTGATTTCCTCCACTGCTGGTCACTTCTGCTGTTAAAAAATCTAAATTTTGTCATCACTTTCCATGTTATGTACAGTTGAGCCCTCTCAAACTTCGAAAGGTTGGTCGTTGATGCTGTCAGGATACTTCACATGAGTTAAATAGGGCACGTTTGTCGCAGTTAGCGTGCACTTAAACCAGCAGTGGTGTATTCTGGTTTGGGAGGAATAAGTACTACGTTTTGTTCATCATCTTGCTAATAACCCTCTTGCAGACAAATTTTTTAAGGTGATAATTGTGAAGTGCATCATTAGGCCTAAACTGATATTAATTAGTTACAGGGGCAGTCTAAGGAACTTTCTCATATGCCCTGTCCTGTTAAGTTCTACAAAAATCTATTAGACCACTAAGAAGAACAAGCCAATAGGAGCCAAAGACATTCCAAGAATTTGACAAAACGTTAGTTTCGGTTATTGATTTAAATTCTATCAAATCAATGTGAGCATCATCTATAGAGTTACAGAATTCATGCTATGACAAATTGTTGTTCATGCTCAAAGACATTAGAATCAAAATTTATTTAATCAAAAATTACTACAGTAATATTTTTTCTTCCAGAGAGTTTAAATGAATTACTGAAGGGCAGTCTATGTATTCATTTAAAAGTGATATGTACTGTGTTTCCTTAAAGCATAAGACTGGGTCTTAATTTTTACTCCAGAAGACTGGAGCAAAAATTATTTTTGGGGATGTCTTATTTTTTTATGCACAGCAATTAATATTTGCCCATTTACATCATTCAAAAATCAATATTTATTGGTTTATTCATGTAAAAAAATTACATTTATTTAAGTACAGTCATGTCTGCTTTTAAAACATGTTCATAAAACTCAAGACCTCAAATTCAGGCCTGGAATGTCTTCTTAAATGATCATTTTTTGTCCTTTCTTCCCTGTAGCTAGTTTGATCACATTTATAACACAGGTGTCAGTGACTTTTTTCACATGAATTCTTCATCCAATTTGGGATCTCACTAGCTGGGCTTTAGTAGTGACTGTCCACACTGATTTTTCTCTTCTGTGCTCTATATAGTTATTGATTTCTGTGTGAAAGTGGTCCTTCAATGGCTTGTAAAGTTTGGCAGTATACAGAGACTGAAGATAAACAGTTATTCCTATGGGAATCATTATGTCATATGTTCTACTTTCTGCATAATTTTTCATGTCTGGTCAATGTGAGATGAATCGCAGATCAGCTGACCACTTTGGCTAGTTTACAAAACAAGTGGTAGCCATTAAATTGGCCCATTTCTTTATAGCTTCTTGTGTGCAGAAGGTATTTTCAGTTTCAAGAACATAAATACCTGAAACAAATTCAGCCTTATCTTTCTTGCTCTCAATGATTAGAGGTGGAGGTTTTTTCACACCCATGCAGATATGTTATACAGTTTGTAAGTATACATATGATAATTTCAGCATCTTTCTGTTTAAACAGAGCTGAAGATTTCTGAAAGGCATTCATATTACTAAAGGAAACCATCCATCCAATACTGCAGCACTTTGAATTCTTCTTGGGCTATGTTTAACTGTGGTTGCATTGTGAAGACAAATGCTTGAATATCAGTTTTGTGAACAAAAAGAAGCTTTACTCTTCTGACAGTAATCCATTGACATATGTCTTTTAAATCAAGAAATACTAATTTCTGACTGACACTTGTGCTTCTTAACATTTTTATTGTTCATCTGTAGGGTATATTGTATTCTGATTAGCATTTCCAGACTGGACACTTTTTGGTGCAAAAAGCTGTAAAATGCATAGCCTGGAAGTTCTCCATGATGTAACACCTCATTTATTTTTACACACATCTTCTTTAGGGTTAAACAGTTTATTCCCTTTAAATGTATTATTAAATCAAGTGTTAGTGAAAGACTTGCAAGATAGGAATGACAATAAAAACTATTAAAAAATGGTGGACTACACTAAAGTGGTAAAAAACTGTAAGCACAAAATTCAGGAAACCTATTTTTATTTTAGACAAGTGTTTTCAATATTTCCATTGCAGAACTTGGATAGTCATAACCAAATTGGTTTGTTATTAAGTGCACACATATGGTAAATATGCACTCTGATTGATCATTAAGAAATAAATCTGTCTGACATCTTAACTAGGGCTTTTTTTTTTTTTCTTTGAGTAGGACAAGTGTCTTGAAACCTGATGCTAGGGCTGATTTTATGATTAGGTCTTATTATTTTAGGTAAGGCTATATTGCAGATATCTTGAAAAATTATGCTTGAAATTATTTTACAATTAGGTCTTATTTTCAGAGAAACATGGTAGATTAACCATATATTAAATATTAGAATAAAGCAAGTTAATATTGTTTGAATGAAGAAATTCAGATTTTCCATGTATTTAATAAATCAAAAGAAAATATTTAACAGTACTGCACAAAAATCAAAATTGTAAGATTTATCAAATACTTCTTTTGAGTGATCTTTGAAGTGCTTAGTTATTTTACAGTAATTAGTATATTCAAAGTCTCAAAGTATTATCACTAAATAGCTTTAACCTTGCTGATTCTTTTTTTTTTTTTTTTTTTCATAATATAGATTGTAGGTTCTGACTTATTTGTCTGTCCAAGGAAAGATCATTTACTGCTTAAAGATATTTACTGATTTACTTCTGGGCTATTATCTGGCTATTAGGGAATGTTAAACACCATTCTGACTCCAATGAGATTAATATTTATTTACATTTTCTGGAAATAGAATTACACAGACAGAAAATCAATCATTGTTCTTTTTCTACTTGAAGGCTTAGTGTTGTCACTCTGGGGAAAAGAAAATTGCATGCAAAGAGTTTCACAGATGGTGCTTCATTAACGTAAATGATGTTGCCACACACCCCCTTCCCAGTGATAGCGTTATACCTCATAATCTTGCAGGAAATCTCACCCTTCTTCCAGCTTTTGTGTTTCTAGGATCAATATCTTTTTAAGAATCATTGTCTCCAGGAAGTGGAGCTGAGATTTTGGAGTTATCAGCTTCATGTGTCTGGGGATTTGTTGTTATTTCATTTTTGAGACCTATCTGTCGATATCCTTTTAATTTTACCTGAAACTTCCACATCGAAAAATTTCTCAAAACGTTTTTTAACTAAATATGGTCTTAGATAGGGTGGTTGAAGAGAAGATGAAATTATGTTATTATAGATGAATACGTGTGAACAATTTGCTGTCCTTGTGCACGAAAATTGGGGTTTTTTTTTTCCATGGCTGGTTGTTGGAGTTGGTTTTAGGTTTTGGGTGTGATATTTTGTATAAAATCTGAATGCGTAACAGTGGGGACATAACTGAAAAATTCTCCAGACAACCAGATTGGTGAATTGTACACAAGTTCAGCAGAAGAACAATGCAAATCCTCTTTAATGGCAGTTCAAATGCCAAGATGAATCAAAGGTAGAACATCAGTCCAAGAATTTGACATTTGCAGGTGGGATTTTAGGCTGTTTTTCAAGGTTTGATGTTGTCGTTCGATTAAACCATTAGATTGCAGATGGTAAGCCGTGGTGCTGTTCGCCTTGAAGCCTAGGTATGTGCTCAAAGATCTGAAGAGTTGGCTGTCAAATTGCTGACCTTGGTCAGATGTTATCTTCTCTGGGATTCTAAATCTAGAAATCCAAGTCACAATGAGGGCATGTGCGACGAACTCTGTGGTTTGGTCTTCCAGAGGTAGAGCTTCGATCCACCGAGTGAATCTATCGATGATGGTAAGTAGGTACCTAAAACCTTTGCAAGATGGTAAAGGGCCAACAATATCGATATTAAAGTACTTGAAATGTTGATTGGAGACTTTGAATTCAGCAGCTGGAGCGTGGGTATGTTTGTGAATTTTGGGCTGTTGGCATTGCAAGCATGGTCTAGACCACAGCTGACAGTCTTTGTTTATGCCAGGCCAAGTGAATCTTTTTGTCACCAGCTTTGTTGTTGCATGAATTCCAAGATGGGATAAGTTATGTATAAAGAAAAATACCTGTTCTCAATTCTTTAGGAATGTATGGCCTGTTAAAATTAGTGGAGGTATCACAATAAATTTTCTTATTGCTATCTGGAATAGGAATTTGTACTATTTTGAAAGTGGAATTTGATTTAAGGATCCTGAGGTCTTCATTCTCCTGGCAGTCTGATATAACTGTGTAATCAATTGGAGCTGGGATAGCGATGGTGTCGATTCTCAATAGCGTGTCAGCTACAGCTATATATTTGCCATTTTTCGATTATAAACGTACATAATATTCTTAAGGAACAGGCAGTGGGGTAAAAAGTAACTCAGATTGATCGTATGAAAAATGTTTCAAAAACTCTTCAAGGTTCACTACTGGTCAAGTGGATAAGACTACTGAACATTAATAGTTTGACCTTGATTCAAATAATAGCAAGCAGGCTGGCTGGATTGAAATTTTGGTGGTTTTACCCATGTGTAAAACTATCAGAAGGACCATGTTTGAGCCAAATCCCTTTTAATTCTTCCAGGAAAGTATTCCTTCCCATAAGTAGATAGCCATTGTGCACGTTGCATAATCAAATAATCCCAACATAAATCTTCAGTGTAATTTTCCATTTATTTTTCAAAAATTATTTTTATGTATATTTCTTTCTGTAAACATTAATTTTGATTTTACTGTAAGTGCTAGTACTATTACTGTTTTTAAAAGTAAGACTGCATTAATAGACATTGCTAATCATGTGCCTGGTTTTGTTTCATAATTTTGCATTACTATCTGCATTTGAATATTTTACAGTGCCACTGAAAAATTAGTGTATGGATAATAAAATAATCACTTGAAAACTGTTAAATATATCAATTTTTCAAATGGCTAAATGTTAAAAAATGTTTGAATTTTATGACTTATCTAAGTAGGTTTCAGTTCTGTTAGGTTTATTACATAGCAATCATCAGAATAATATTTGATGATGTCCCAAACCTGCTGAATTATGAAGTTACAGTTATGATGTTTGCTGTAGTCCTTTACTGTTTGACCTTTTTTATCATAGGCAATATTCTTCCCTATTCCTGCAAAATAAGTACACTTGGGAAAAGTAACAAGCTCAGAAACATTTCAGTAGTACAGTGTTATGTCAGGGCTTCCCAAGAAAGCATAATTGGATTGTTCTTGTTTTTAGGTCCAAGTGATTGAAGGTCTCATTCACATATTTATCCCATACCCACTAAAGCTGACACAATTTTACTGTATTTGGATACTTGAATATCATTGTTTTAATGTGCTAAACAGTTTTGAAATAATACATTTTAATTATATTTATTATAGGACTTAAAACAGTTGTGTGTGAAATAATGAACTTAACGTGACCCGACTGAGAATGCTTTTCTTTTAATGGTTATAATAAAAGTCTGATAAATTTCAGGCTAGTTTCACTTAGTAGTACTAATATTTTTATCATGTATGATTTTTTATAACTAAATGCTTTTAACAGTTTTGAAATCGTACACTTTAATTATCTGTATTTATAATAGAGACTAAGTATCACGTAATTTTGCGTGAAATATGAACTTAATGCAAGCTTCACTATGAATGCTTTTCTTTCAATGGTTGAAATAAAAATCTTATAAATTTCCAGGCCAGTTACATTTATTAATATGTATTTTTATATGTATGTTTTGTATAAATTTAGTGGTTTACATTTTAAGGATGGAAGATATTTCAATAGATGCCACAGATTGGGATATATATTGAAACAGAACAGGAATTTTGCTGTTCGAAAAACAAGAACACATCCAAAAAAAGGGGGAGGGCAACCACTCTAATAGAGAATCTTCAAACTAAGTAGACATTAGGAATTAAGGGTAAAATCTAGAAGAGTTTTAACAGTTTTGTATAACATGCTTTAATTACCTGTATTTACAATATAATAGAGACTAAATGGACATAACCTTTTATGAAATAGTAAACTTAATATACCCTTAACTAAGATTGCTGTACTTTCAATAATTATTACAAAGGCGTGGCAACATAATGCTCCATACCAGTTATATTCATTACTATGCATTTTATCATATATGATTTTATATGTATGTTTTATGTAATTTTAAGCATAAATGGTTTTATTTCAGTAGATTCCTTCAAGCTGTGGTATACAGTACAACGTCCGATATCCGTACTCGTCGGGACTTCGGCAATTCCAGATTTGGGACTTTTCCAGATATTAGATCATTGGTTTAAATCTAGTAAGATGGCATGCAGAAATTATAAAATTAAAAATATGAAATCGTGATTTATGAAATAATGAAGCATTTATGATCTAAAGAATATAAAAATTTACACACACACACACAAAAAAAAAAAAAAAAAAAGCTTAATATTTGTTTGTTAACTTATTAAACATTTCTTTCAATGTAAGTTGTTTAAGTTGCTTCATTTTTTGTGCTTATATCTCTGTAAACAAACATAATCTCTTGTATAGTTACATTGTTGAAGTCCTGTAACTACTGTTTCGCGAATTCCGACTAACTTGTCAATCGAAATTTTTTAGTTTTCAGTAACTTCTCTGTTACTTTCTTCACTATCGGTAGCAGTATTTTCTGGGTATAGACCCATACTACAGATTCCGCCATTCATTAATTGATTGATGATTGACAAGCATTGTCATCACAATCAAAAACTTCTTTTGAATCATCTTCATTTATTACCACCTTTCCACATTTCTTTACAAAATCTGTAAATTGGAAAATTTCACCTTTGTTTTGATATATCCGAAATTCTTTAAAATGTGCGGCTATCATCATCAAATTTAGCTATCGTTCACTATACATATTTGGCTATGCATCATGAGCTTGGCGACTAACGACAAGTTGTTCTGTTAACTTTTATCTTGCCTCTATCACGCATTGAGACAATTAAGCTTGAATTGTTTTAGTTTAGTTATTTATTATACTTATGTCTATTTCTTTCATATGCCTAAGGTTTATCAGAGTTCAGAATAAATAAATTCCCACATATACTCAAGCCTCATTGAGGGCCGGCGCTAGATATCTCGCTGCCTGATGCGTAGGTCCTAAATTCTGCAACCTGGTGCCGTCTTACGAGCCTTGGCACTGGTTCTAGGTTTATGTGAATAGCAAATCAGTTATTCTTAATTCAAACAGGCCTAAATGTAATCTTTGGGTCTATGACTATCATCAACAAAATCTATTTTTAGCATATGGAAGGAAATTTTTGTTAAATTTTTCCTCATCAACATTATTTAGTGCATTTAACTTAAATCTGTAATCATTGCCAAGTGAAATGTCAACATAAAAGGTTACCATACTCCTTTATTATTCAATTACTAACATAAAAAAATTGTTTAGGCATTGCTACATGAGTCATTACTCAAGTTGTCAAGTTGATAAACATGCGATGATAAAAGCAAAGTATAATAAATAATGATTCCCCAGGTTGGCGTCAGATATAACTATGTGGAGTGTTTCGGTTTGAGATGTGTACCAAGCAGATAGCAGCAACAGAGCCAAATTACAGATCGTACAAGTTAATGCTAAAATAATTGTTTTTTCAATAGTAAGGTATTTTATTTAGTGTTGAAGTGAAATTAAGAATCAGGACTCTCCAGATGTTTTATTATGCTTGGAGAGGGGAATCAAATGTGCATGCATAAAGCTTATGAGCAAAACGTTGTTGGTGGTTTTGAGGTCCGGATTTTAGATTATTTTGGATATTTAGATGTCCGTATTTCAGACTTTGTGCTGTTTGTGGATATAGAATAGCAGTTTTGCTGATCAAAACACAAAGTAAAGTATATTTTTCTGGTACAAAAAGTCAATTCTTTGTTCTGTTGTAACAGAGTTTATTAAACTTTTTTCAGTCGTGATCTCCTTTGAGCTAAGTTACAACAACAAATCTAAAATTTTTCATGTGAGGGTAGTGAAGTGATTACTTTCCACTTAATGAATGTGCATGTAAAAAACTGTAACTAGAATTTAAAGAGGAAGTATATGTATGGGAAACTTGAACACATTTTAACTTTCAGGAAATTAAACTTGCTGTTCCTTATAGATTTTTGTTATTCCATAATTTTTGTTGTATTTTGCAGTCCATATTTTCACCTTGTTTTATTGGATGCTTTCTGACTGTGTCTGGTTTACTCCAGTTACAACCATGGCATAAAATAGGAGAAAAAATTAAAAAGGTGATTAGATATCATATATTCATATAGTCATTCATAACTATTCATATGGTATAAGTATTTAAATTCTTTTTAATAATACGCTACTTAGATCCTTGTGAATAGTTTACATGGAAAATTTTCAGTCTGTATTATGATAGTGTGAAAAAGATTTAATAAGAATGAAATAGTATGTATTGTTATTGCTACCAAACATTTATTTCCTTTTCATAAAAATCGTCAATTAAAAAAAGCTGCTGATATTTAAATTTAGTGCTGCCAGCAATTTGCTGCTTCCTTATTTAACTTTCAGTGTTTAATTGTTAAACTACTTTTTGCATCAAATGTTTCTGCATATGTTACAATATATATAGCAGAAACATTTAAAACAAATTCTATTTAAAATGTTAGATATGCACTCTTACGTTGTAGTTGTGCAATGGTTTTAATTTTTTTAAAGTTAATGTTTGTGTTTTATGATGCAAATCTGTCAATTTCTGTAGACTAAAGTGGAAGTAGAAACATCTTAAAAGTTCTTTTACCGACACTGTAGGTTTAGGTTAAAGCTAATACTGTTTTCAGATACACAGAAGTATATGAATGGTTGAATGAATAGTGTTGCTTCTTAGGGCTTTCTGTAGTTTTTTACTGCATTAAGTGTACCTGAAGTAATTGGGGGGGGGGGTTATTCAGAATTCTAAAAATGTTTGTGCATTCTCACTTATGTTGTGATTGCTGGTGCAGAAAAAGCAGTTATTGGCTTAAAAGCTTCATATATGAATTTTACTTAATATATGTTGTAGCTTAATATTTAAAATGTGCATGCAGTATTTGTTTATATTTGTCCTCTCTCAAACATCTTAAATTTGAGACACAGAAATTTGTGGTGGTGACTTAAGGTCATTATGTAAAACGTCATAGTTAATTTTATTTAGCAGAATTTTTTATAGTAATTAAAATAATGTTAATTGTTAATGAGGAGTTTTTTTAAATTAACCAATCTAAGAAATATTCTTTCATAACAGAAATGTAATGAAAGTTAAATCTTTAAAATATGGTGTTTCTCCCTTTAGGATTATTTTGTTATCTTGAAGACGAATTACTTGGTAAGTGTCGGCTAAATTATGTCTTGTCTCTTTATCACCTTTTGTTGCTAGAAAATCATATACATTTCTGATTTCTTGGTGTATGCTTGGTTAGTGAGTTAAAAATAAATGTGAATTAAAAGGGGAGTTTCCCCCATCTGTTTGTATATGCATGCATGTGAAGAATTTTGTAAATGACATTCAGTAAGTTCTAAGAATAATCTGTAATTCAACCAGTTGAAGAAGTTCAGATGTTGTGTGTATATTTCATCATTCTCTGTTCATGTGCCTGTCCTGCAGCAGTGTGTGTTGTTAGTTTTTATGATGGAATTTGTTGAAGTTTATAAGATAAGAATGAGAGAAATGTCAGTATCAAACATTGTGTCTTTATGAAATTTTTAACCAAGGAAGGGGCAACATGGGTTAGTACTCATGTGAAGAATATATTGGAAGCTGCCTCTTTTGCAGGGATGTAAAAAAAGTTATTGAACATTATTTTGAGGAGTATGACAGAATTTTTTTCTTCAATCAGAGAGTTAACAGATATATTAATTGTATTGATGTTCATGGGGATTTGGTAGAAAAATATATATTCAAAAGAGTTTTGTTTGGCTTAGAGGTTCTTGAACATTAGGTATACTGTCTTACCTTCTAAGCTTAGGTGGGAATGCTCTTATAGTCTTCAGAACAGTGAAATCCAAAATACTTTTCCCTTCCCTTACTATTCCCCCATTGAGGAATAGTTTTTGTGAAGTCTTTTGTCTGTCCCCACCATGAAGGCAGTAAAATTAACATGGTTGCTATATTTGCCATTTTTTTTATGTTAATTTTCATTCTATTTAAATTAACATCAGTTATTTATTTTGCTGTTGTGAGCTGTTTATTTTCATTCAACTAATATATATATAGGGAATTAGATGTCTGTTTTAAATTTTCTTTTCCAAAAATTGTGCATTTAAAATATACTCACATGACATACGAAATTCAGATATTTCAGGAATAATTTCTGAAAAGTTTCCATTTTGATGACCTGGCTCTAAACTCCACATCTTACTGTAGTTCTGCACAACTATGAAAGGGCAGCTACTGTTATAAGGTAACAGACATCAACCATTGTTCCCCTGAAAAATATTTTAATTAATCCTAGAATTTCTAAAGTAATTCTGTCTTCTGAATAATTGCACATAATAGTCTGTAAGCCTTGCCATTGTTTAAATGCTAAAAATGATCTGAATTCTCATCACAGACATAATGTTCATTACTAAAAGAGCTCTGCAGCTTTTCTAATTAATGGTATGTTAAAACAGTAGACACATGAAAAAGTTGGGTGCTCGGAGTTAGAATAATATGAAGAGTTGCTTTGATGAGTTCATTATTCTCTGATACACATCTGTTGTAGCAATATTGTACTGAAATTGTACAAAATTTCTCCTTCTTTCATTGCTCGTCTGTATATAAATAAATGTGAAAATATTAAGTATATCATATTTTGAAATTACTCAAATTTTCCTTATTTAAGGCAAAATGAATAAAATATTTATAAATCTTTATATAAAAATAACTATATTAAATCCATCTCGGTAATAATTTATGAAATTTAAATGAACTATTTCCACACTCTGCTTACACTCTCATAATTTTATTGCTAGAAATTAAGGAACGGGAACAGTACATGCCTTTGTTATTTCTACGAGTAACATGAATATGAACCAACTTTCCTAAAAATAGCCTTGTATGTGTCTTTCCCCTTAAGCAAATAGTCTTCATGTGCTTTGCTGTAATCCAGCCCACTTCAAATTCTTATGCATTTAATAGTGAGTTGCAATGCATCTTATTACAGAGTAATCAACATTCTATTTTTTTAAGAATATTTTTATTAATCAACTTATCTGAATTCTTTTCATCCCTTGAACATTATAAGAGTTTCAAAAAATTCAGTCTTGACCAAAATTATGAAATTTCAAGCTTGATATAAAATTAATAAACTGTGTTTAAATTCAGTTTAGGAGCTACATGAACCTTAATATTTTCTAGATACTTTGGGGAATGCAGTGTCATTATAAAATAGTATCTAAAGAACAGTTGCTTTTATTTACTTTAGTAGGAAAGGATTTACAAAAACTATTATGTAGCCAGAAAGTGCAACTTTGAACAAAATTAACAGTGCTTAATATTTTCGCACATTCAGCAATGAAAAGGCTAAAATAACAGTTTATCAGAAACAAGGTTCAGGTATAAATGGGACCTTAAAAGTGGTTCCATTCATTTTAAAAATGTGAAACCGGTTCAGGTTCATGTAAAATCATTGTAAACTTAGATCAAAGGATGTCTGTTTTAAATATTTTTGATTTCTGTCCGCATATTCATAAGTTCTTCAAAATTCATTTGAGCTCTGCCTAATATCTTTTTCAATGATTTCTTAATGCTTTTCATAAGGCGTTCATAAAAAGCTCCCCACCACGGAGCAAGCTCGATGATAAATTTCCAACTCAAGCTTTCATTTGCTAGAAAATTTTGAAAGTCTGCTCTTTTAATTATGCTGTAAAAATACTGTAAATCTTTGGCAGCATATTTGAAAGTCTTTGCGTTGTTTAAATAAAAGGTGCAACAGTTTCCTCTTCTCGAAATGAAAATTCATTGATAAACCGTTTTTTAACTCCTTAGAATTGGAATAAAGTTTACACAGATTCATACTGGTGTGCTTTAAAATCGTTCGTTCCATAATCATTGACATATAAAGATGAATTTAATATTTCATAACTTTCAGGTTTTTTAATGTATTTTTTAATATGCTGCTTTATTGTGGCTGCTAAAATGAATGGACTGGTAAACCAAATGGTAAATGTGTCATGTTTTCACTGTTGTCATTCTGAAACCAAAGAAATTTAAAAACATTTGCGATCTTCCTTTTCAATACTTATCATTAGAAATGCCTTATCTATATCAGTGGAAAAAGCGATATAGTGTTCTTGAAATTTAAGAATGACAGCTAATATGTGCTAGGATTTAAATTAGGTCCAACCTGTAACAAATCGCTTAAGGATTTTGAATTTTCTCCTTTACATGACGCATCGAAAACAATTCTAACACGAAAACTTTCTTTATCTGATCTTATCACAGTTATATGGGGCATATAATAACCTGATTCGAAATCTTTATTTTAATATACTTCAACAGTTCCGTCATCGAGTTGTTCTTCAATTATTTTTGTGTATTCCTTACGCATTTCTACATCCTTATCCAATCTGTCTCTCAAAACGCTTCTTTGCAATATAAAAGTTATTATTAAAATCATCAGGGTTAGATTTCCAAAGCAATTTTGTTTGATAGCTTCCCTTATCAAAGGATAAAGAGTTTTCAAATTGATCAATTGTTTGTTTATCTTTAACAGACAAACCTAAATTTTCTTTTGAAATACCAATTGAGTCTAATTCCCGAAACACTCTTAGGTCATTCGTTATCGCATTCTTCATAACGTTAATATTTTGTAATCAAGCTTCCGCTTTTCTAAATTTCGAATCTGTAATTACCTATCCAAAGACAGTTTTTAATGCACCTATATGTTTATTAATTGCGATTCTTTTTCATCTAAGATAAATTTCCAAAATATATCGGATCCTATTAGGATTTCAACATCCAAATACTTATGTCCGCAGCATAAGTTAGTGAGCGGTAATTTATGACTAGTCATGAATTCTGATACTTATTTATCCGGAGGAGAAATTATGGCGCTAGTAATGTTTGGGATAACGAGAGTTTTGATTTTAATTGAATATTGCGTATTATGTCTAGCTTTGATTTCAAACTCTACGACTGGATACTTCTTTTCTCAAGCACATTCCATTCCGAAGGAATATACAGAGAGTAATTCATAGCAAATAGGTTTTAATTTGAGCATATTCGCAAAATGTTCACTGTAAAAACTTCTTTGACTTCCATTATTGAGTAGATTTTGAAGCCTAGTCACCTTATAATTAAATTCTGAATTTGCAACAACCGCACATGTTTGTAAATAAACATTTTTAGAGCATGTCATACTTGCATGTCATTGTGAAACTGAACTGACAGTTTCAGAATTAGAATTATTTAACTCTTGAGTATCTTTAGTGTTACAATTTAAATTCAATGATTCTTTACATTTGTCCTCAATATTATTTGTTTGATTAATTGTTGCAGTATTATTATTTTGGTTATTACCTGGACAAATGGAACTATGATGACTTTCGCTTTTGCACTTGAGCAAGAAAATTAATTAGAACAAGAGTTTTTACCAATGTGATACATTTTGAAACATTTGAAACCATGTTTAGTATTCTTTCAAATTTCTATTTTATTTGGTGGTGACATTTTATGTTTAAATGAATCATGTGGTGCAGAACAGAAAATGCATGTAGATTGTGTCATATTGAATGCCATTGCTGATGGTGTGCTTTTTTGAATTCCTTTCACGAAGGTGTTTCGGTTTTGAAGCTTTGCATTCGGATCACTAGTTTTTCCTAATGGAATGTTTTCCATGTTCATTTGACTATTTGTTGCATGCCAAAAATAAGGTTTTTTTCCCTCTGCTTTCAATTTCTGTTTTTATAACATTAATTATTATCGAAACCTTCCAATCTTTGTCTATTCTGCATTTTTTAAGTGATCTCTAGAACTTGTCTCTCTTGTGGTATTAATTTAATCAGTATGGGGCATAATAGAAAACCATAAGTTTCTGAATTACCTTCTAAATTGCGAACTTCTGTTTGACAAATATCTAACAATTCTCTAAGCAGAGAGATGTCAGTTGATTTCCTAACAGGCATTAGATTTAACAGTTTATTCATATGAGAATTAATGACCAAAGTCTTTTGTCCAAATCTTTCCTTTAAGATTTCTATTATATTCTTCATAATTTTTATTTTTCAGTGTAATTCCTTTAATTGCATTTGCGGATACTCCAGTTAAATATGAGTGTTAGTAATTCTAGTGTCTACATTAGATAAATCTTCATTTCTCTGTTATCAGTGATTTAAACTGATCCCAGAATTTTTGCCAATCGGCAGGATCGCCATCGAATCTTCTTACTGTTAACGATGGTAATTTAACTAATTGTTTTTGTAATTTTAACAAGCTAAGCTTTGTGTAGTTGATTTACATTTAGCGATAGCAGCTTTCAACTTACACGAGCAGTTAATCAATTTTTCATGATACTCATCACATTTAATAATTTCGGTTTCAATTTCTTTAACATCCGTAATTTGACTTTGAATTTTAGAATCTATTTCTTTTAAGTATTTAAATTTCAAATTTATCTGTTCTGAAGCTCTTCTCCTGTTTCATTTTCTAAAATTTTAGTTTCGATTTTAAAATTTAATCTTACTTGAGATCTAAGCATAGCTCTTTTAGCCTTTGCGATTTCCATTTTGAAATCTTTGCTTTCAGATTAACTTGATATCTTCATTTAACTAAATTTTTCTAAAAGAAGAGGAGTTAGCAGTCATTTGCAACTTGTTCAGTCATCAGTTCAATCAAAACGGAAGTAATTTGCAATACAAAATCTATTTTTTAACAAAAGGAAAATATTAAATCTTATCTTGAATGATCTTAATATTAATCTTACTTGTTCCAAAGCCTTGCATATATTTAATCCAAAGTTAGCAACACTTGTATTACTATATTCTTTATTAGAAGCGCAAAACAGCATATTTCCAGTCACTGATCACCAAAAATATATATTTTGACTTCCTTGTGAGAGCTCTGATCATACTTAATACTAATGGAAGCCAATACTTCAGCATTTTGCATCAGATAATCATTTTATTTTACAAAAACAATCGTGCATCGATATCTTCTATATCACAAACTGAACTAACGTTCTTTTCTCAGAAGTGAAATGCCCTCTATATGGCAATACAAAAATCATTTGTGGGAGTTTTCAACAATACATAAACAGCAGATGTTATTAGTGGGTTAAAGTCTCCTCTTTATTGTAATAATTGAATGCTTGTAGCTTACGTAATTATGACAATGTATGCTAGGACTTTCATGGTTATGGTCATTTATAGCAGGGGTACTTTCATGGGGGGGCAACAACAAGTGGGTGGCCAAGCAGACCTTCACAGAGGCATCCCAACTCACAGGCAGGTAGCTGAGTTCCATTGCCATGAATAACCAACCTAACTTGAACATTTGAAGAAAGTGGCTTATATTTCCATTACACATGTGGGGGGGGAACCACCCACGAATCGGATAGTTTTGGAGTATAGGTTCAGCTGCCAATAGTAATGGTCTTATCCACTCTGCAACCGTTTGAGGAAAATTCAGAATAATTAGGAAGCATTTGGTGAAATCAGACTGATGTGGAGACTTATGTCAGGCTGAAAGATACAAGGTTAATCTGAACATAAAATTAAAGATAACAGTTTCATTACAAATATATCTTATTTGAATTAGCAAGTAATAATTTGATTCATGTTATATTTCATTGATATAAATTTTCAATTTTTCAAGTAATTCAATTTAAATGTTAATTTTTAATTATTGTCTGCTCTGTTAATCATAGTGTATGTATATAGGACTTCATTTTTAGTACAGTCAAAAGTCTTTAATCCGGACTCGTCGGGACTTCGGCGATTCCGGATTATTGATTTTTCCAGATTATAGATCATCAGTTTAAATCTGGTAAGATGGCATGCAGAAATTATAAAATTAAAAATATGGAACCGTAATTTATAAAATAATGAGCAATTATGATCTAAAGGGTATCAAAATTTACCAAAAAAAGAAGCCTAATATTTATTTGTTTACTTTATTAAACATTTCTTTCAACGCGCGGATGCGTAAAGCATACCTTACGCATAGCCGAAATTAGAAAATTGCAACCAGAAAACTATTTGATTTGTATTCGTGGTATTTATAATGACGAGGAATTTGATTTAAATCATATCAAAGACGGAGTACATCGAAATTAAATACTACATTTAGTAAGGAATTATAAGCCGAATAAAATAAAAACATCTGCTCTGAAGATAACGATAGTGTTGACAAATCAACTTCCTGTTAATTGCACGCCGCAACATCCCCCCCCCCGTGCAGAGCAGCGTGAAATTGATAAAGAGATTTCGGAACGGTTAGATAAACAAAGAATATGCCTTTATGCATTTTTTGTAGCAATTTGTTTTTTGTTTGATGGACATCGAAACATACTTTCGTTTTCTAGATCCTTTGGGAGCTCCAGCATCAGAAATTCTATTTGACATAATTGAAAGTTCAAGCTTACTTTTAGAAAATTGCTCTTACAGTCTGCAAAAAATAATAAGCCGGATCCAATTCCAAGATTAAGGAACAACGCAATCATCAACCTTAACTGAAATAGATAATTAGGTAATTTTAGCTTATACCGTCCGTTATACATTAAACGCGCAAGCGAAAACGTATTCTGCACTTGCGCAGACGCATATGTGCGTAAATGTCTTGGGCGCATGAGTAAAACGCCTATGCGCATGCGCAGAAAGATTTTAGCTTTGAGGTCCGGATTATGGGTGTCCGAATTAACGACTTTTGACTGTATATACTTGTAAAATAATTTGCGGATTCTTATCTAATTCTGTGTTTCTTCATAACAGCTGTGGCCTGCTGCCCAACTTATCACATTCTATGTTATTCCTCTTGAACTGAGGTATGGTATTCTAGTAGTATCTTGATAGTCATAGTAGTATTTTGTGTTTAATGAAATGTGCTATCAACTGAATTATTTTTATTAAGTTGCATGTGTATTTAATAGTTAACTGGAAAAGGTTTATTTACTGAACTGAATCCCAACCATTATTATACTCAGTCATGATTATTTTATGTCAAGCATTTGCTAAATTTATATAAAGTCCTGAAAGTATATGGATAATTCTTAACTTCCAGTATGCGTGCTATGCACGAAGTTTATGACAAATTTGGTTTTTAATGTAGCATATCGCAGCTGAGACGTCTGAATGTCATTTCTATTCCTCCTTTCAACCCTTCCCCACGTCAAGGAATGTGCCAACAGGAAATAATATGTGCTACGTGGCAGCTTCATCATAAAAGTTCTGAGATGCGCGAGGTTGCTGGTGAAAATTCAGAAAAAAAAATTTGTTGTCAAATATTTTGTAAATTGCCGTGTATTATTTTAATTTGTATAAATTCAACTCTATAATTTTTATATCGGTTTTCAGCCCACCAGCGGCCGAGCGGTAAAGTCACTGAACACTGGTAGTTCGGTCCGAGGTTCGAATCCTGCGAACGGGCTGGCTGCATGAGCGTTTTTGTGGTTTTCCCCATGTGTAATGTGTATACGAGCCAGTTTCCCTTAGATAGTCCTCCACGAAGGCATCCCTCCCCTTAGAAAGATAGCCCTAGTGTGCTTTGCCGTAATTAAATGAACCAAACTATATCGGTTTTCATGTCAAAAAATTTTGTGCAACCAGCTGCTCGCATTCTTCAAGAATTATCTGATGAAGAAAAGAAGACAAGGAAACCTTTGGATGTGAGAATAATAGCAATCTGAGTGAGGAAAATATAGAGTTAAATAATAAATAAATGGCAAAAACAAAAGTACGAAAACTGTTCAAAGATGAATAAGATGAATATTGTGAGTGTTACCTGGCCTAAAGCGGTAGAATACAGATGCTGTAAAAAGTACGACGTGTGCGTGCTCATGTAAAATTGATAAGCGCGCGTGCTGGAAGGTTAAATTCTGTCTACTGTTTTCAATTTAAATTTGCTGGAGTAGAGAAAATAATTTTTGTGCATATCAGGAAGCTGTGGTAACAAGATGAATATGTGTAGACATGAAAATAAAGCTGTATTTTTTCAAATTGAAGCATTTGTTAAATAGCATTTGCATAAAAAATTGTTTTGTAAGTAAATGAAGGGGAATGGAAAATATCAATTCAGAATTTCAATAGAGCCATAAATATGATCTTTTTGAACCTGATTTTAAATGTATCATGTATCCATATTGAATATTTAAGTGTAATGCTTACAGGCAGATACTGTATTTTTAGGATACTGTATGTCAAATAAATTCAGTATCAATGCAATGGAGTTTGAAGGTTATCTGATTACCTTTGATACCTTACTAATAACATTCAATTTCTTTTAACTACTGATCACACCTTATAAAGTTGTCATCTGTGTACATACAAAATATGAAAAAATGCACAAGAAATGTAAATTATCCCGCACTAAAAGGGTATATAGTTTTGTCTCTTTTGTACAGCAATAAAATAATACATACTGTTACGTTTTTTTTTATGTACATTTCGTAACACTGCCCCTTCCCAAGGACTGCACGTCCCGGGCAGTACAACCCTTGGTCAGAAGCCAAATTCAATACAAACAAAACATAATAAAACAAACAAATAACATAACTAAAGAAACAGTTATTTTCAGTTATATACACAAATACATAACAATTTTAAATTATACAAAGTTCAGAATGAATTACAGTCTCAGTCTTTTCATTAAGTTATACCCAGGTCAAGTACTTTTTTTCCACTGCAGTTCCCAGATGCATTTCTGTTTTGCACATCACAGTCTCAAGATTCAGTCCTTTCAGACTTTTCATCCACAGGAAGATCAGCAGTTTGTTCACCACTCTGTAGTTCATTCGCAGCATGCATACAGTTCACCTCGGTACTTTTAGCAGATGCTATTATTTATCTCTATTTCCTGAAAGTCAGTTCTGATGTTCGCACCAGGGTCGTGAATAGAATCTGATCCTTTACAAGCAGAAGTATCCGTGTTTAGAAAAAAGCCCTGGTCACAATCTGCACTATGAGACGCACGTATACTTTGCGAAGTGGGTGAATTTTCTTGCAATACTGAAGCACTCAGCGTAAGCTGTACATAAGTTTTTTGCATCTCAGCATCAGATGAATTTTCAAATGGTTCAATACTTGCTAACTGCGACTTTGTGACTTCATTATCAGTTTCTGCGATCTTTTCACTTTCTTCTATCTCTACTTCAGGCACATGAAAATCAAAAACTTCTTTCCCGTCTTTCATTCCTTCATCTTTTCGATCTCTGTCTTTAATCTTGTTAGATATTTCATCTTCTATTTCTTGATTTTTATCAGATACTTCATCAGCTACTTCATTCATTTCTCCATCTTTCGATTCTTCAGACGCTACTTCTGTCATTTTCACATCTTCTTTTATGGCTCCAATTACTTCTGAAAGCTCCACTTTCATCTGTTGGAGTTGCTCTCGCACCTTTCCTTGGCCGACATTTATTTCTTCTCTTCCAATGCGGCTTTGATCTCAGCCCTCATCATATCATATCCGGCTTTTATCTCGTCTAAAATGTCCATCAAAGTCTCCTCTGCCATGGCTTCCCTCTGCAGACAGGTCACTGGCATTTACTCCCAAATCCCACTTCTGACAACAATTGTTGCATTTTTTTCTGACACCAGTTGTTACGTTATTTTCTTCCTTCACGATTGTATGGGGTTTAGGGGATTTGGAGTGAATAACGATGACACTTGATGAAGTATCAAAACACACATTATTTACCAATATTAATCAGGACAGCTCCAAAACATTTTTACAGTCTTCGAAGATCTACTATAAACATGCTGGAACAATCAGTGACACAGCCTTCACACTGTCAGGCAATAATGGTGGAGACAGCTTCACTGCAAAGCACCAAAGTACAGCTCCTGACTCTGCTCGGTGGTTCTCAGAACTCCACGCTACAACTCGCAATGCACTTGACGACACAGAGAGCACAGCTCCTGTCTCTTCGGTTCAGTCCTTCTCGGAGCTCAACACACTCTCTCAACGATGCGAAGAAACTCGATGCACTCGACGACCCACTCGGCACACGCTGCCGGCTGTCAACTCGATCGACTCCGCACGGACTGACTAACTCGAGACACTAACTATCTCGCATACTAGACGAGGCACAATGTGACTGCGGACTAGCAGGGTTTATATAGCTTTTGGCTTGTGTTTGAGAGCATTCTGTGGTAAACCGGTAAGAATTCGTTCCAGAAGGTTCTCCATCCGTCCTTGGCATATCGCCAATTTTGTCGCCAAATGGGCGATTTCTCGCCAAATGTGGCAACCCTAAACCTGCTTTGCGGGGAAGCCATTTTACCATGACTGTACAATTATGCTAAAATTAACTATTCATTACACCATTATTCTTAGCCAAGCTGTGCATTAAATCCCAAGGATACATAGGGCAGTAATACTATTTTATAAAGAGATTTAAAGGTCAGAAAATTTCTTTGTTCCAACTACAACAAAGAATGTTATATGTCTGTATTGGACTTGACAATAGCTGAGCAAAGGTGACAATAGCATGGCGTTGACCCTGAAAACTTATAACAGCAGGATAGAGCAACAGTATGGTTCGTTAAGATATTTTCAATTCATTCATAGTCAGTTTTTTTGTAAATTCCTTGTTATTTTTAAATTAAAGCCATTTTATTTATCAGCATTTCAATTCATAGAGGTTTAACATTAATTTTTTGGTGTAATTAATATTTCTAGTTCATAAAAATAGGCTAAATAGGTATACATTAAAATGTTAACTAACCATATTTTATCATTTTTCAGAATTGTCTTTGTCAGCTGTGTTGCATTGGTCTGGAATACATTCCTTGCATGTCAAGCTAATAAGAATATGTCTACAAATTAAGATTTCCAAAATATTGTAAATGGTATATTCCATTTAAAAATTCCAGCAGATGAAAAGTTTTAGCAGTCAAATTACTATACATATGTTAATTAGAGCTGAATTTCTAACACTTATTATAATTTAACATTTAGGTAAAATGAAGCAGTATTGTATGTAAAACAAGTATGTAGGATAAACAATTACTGAAATTTAAATTTATATTTGTAAATAATTGCTGATTGCAAGCTGCTATTTTTGCCAGTTCAAATTTTCATCAATAATATGTGAATTTTTGTCTGATGAGCCTGAGATTTTATGACATTGAAGAATTGTAGCTTAAGGAAATTACTTTAAAATCTTTTGCAATTAAAAATTTCAGGTATCACAGATGTCAAAATCTGCAAATATTTAAAATGTATTAATAAATTATGAAGATTAATCAACTTTTCATTATATAGAAAATAAAATCTGGATCAGTTTTGCCAGATTCACCCAGATATTAGTTCTGTTGGCATCAACAAATCCATAATTCTTCCTTTCTTGAAACAGAATGTATCTTCATTAATCTTTTATTTAACAGAGAATCTTCTTTAATGTAGTTACAATAAAATTTGATTGTTATACGAGACTGATTGTAACAAAAACCTTTTTAAATAAAGAATAACCATTTGATATTTTCATAAATGTTGTTTTCATAAATGTCTTAAATATCTATATAATACAAAGTCTTTAATCCGGACTCGTCGGGACTTCGGCGGTTCCGGATTATCGGTTTTTCCGGATTCTAGATCATCAATTTAAATCTGGTAAGATAGCATGCAGAAATTATTATTTGTAATTAAAAATATGAAACCATAATTTATGAAATAAAGAGCAATTATGATCTAAAGGGTATCAAAATTTACAAAAAAAAAAAAAAGCTTAATATTTATTTGTTTACTTTACTAAACATTTCTTCCAATGCGCGCATGCGTAAAGCATACATTACGCATAGTGGAAATTAGAAAATTGCAACCAGAAAACTATTTGATGTGTATTCTTGATATTTATAATGACGAGGAAATTGATTAAGATCAAAGACCGAGTACATCGAGATGAAATACTACATTTAGTAAAGAATTATGAGCCTAATAAAAAAAAATCTGATGTGCACACCACGACTTCCTTGTACGGAATATTAAATTATAAGCATTTTTTCTTGCATTTCATTTAAACTTATTGGATTGAATTAAATCTACTTCGCTGACAGCGCATAAACCACAATAGAATAAATGCATTCTTTAAAATTCACTCTAGTATTTGTTTACCATAGCGACACTCTGGCGCTAGATTCACTTAACAGTATTAATAATTATATAACAGTTAACTTATATAATAATTATATAGTGGAAACTAAGTTAACTGTTATATAATCCAATAATTATATAAGAGTTAACTTAAATATTTCGTTCATATTATAACTCATAATGCAGAAAATTTATATCATTTAAAGAATAGAATTATCTAATCGTTGCCACATGTTATATTCAAATACTATAATAATGCTAAAATGATGTATAAAAGAAATTAAGCAAACAAAACAAAAAAGAAACAGTTTTTCACAGACGATTGAGTATTTCTCATTCAATTAATTCAGTTCTCACTTCGCGAGAAGGCAAAAATATCTATATTAAAAATTACGAAGTAAATCTTAAACACTTATTTCCTCGAAAAAATTCCAAAAAGAATTAAGCAAAATTTAATTGGCAGTAATAAATGAATGCGTTATCTTTGTTGTTGCGAAGCTGTTTCTCTAGATTGGCAACAAATCCACTAGTCTCCTGTTTCAAATGTAAACATCAATGGCCACCATCAAGAGAAGTATTAGGCTTAGCGGCACTTAAACAACTTTAAAATTGTTGATAATTCTAAAAATATTGCATAAAGATTTACTAAAGGCATAAAAACCTTAACCGGAAGATAAGAACAACATAATTCAATCATTTTTAAAGCAAAAAATGTACAATTAACAAACATATAAGAGTAAAGAAACTGAGATCACTTAGCCGGGTAACAGAGTGGATATATATATAAATATATTTATATACGTTTGGTGCGGCCAATTGCAACCAAAATACGAGGTGCACATCTACATGTTATAGCAGTCCTATATACAAAATTCCAACGTTCTGAGGCTACTTGTTTTTGAGGTATGCGAGATACGTACGCACGTACGTACATACATTCGTACAGACGCCACGAAAAATTCTCTTCAGAATTAATTTTAAAGCAGTTTTATAATTTTTTTTGAAGGAAAAGAGTATTTTATTCTGTCCTTACGTAGAGATATCACGCAAAAACATCGTTAAATTGCATTCGATAGCGGTCAAAATGGATATTTTCGTTGAAATATGCTGCCTGAAACTTTTTGCAATTACAATACTTCCTTTTTACTTTGTACAAGGAAGTAAAAACATCTGCCGTGAAGATGAGGATAGTGCTGACAGATCAACTTCCAATTCATTGCGCACTGCAATGCCCCCCACAGGGCAGGGTGAAATTGATAAATAGATTTCGGAATGGTTAGAGAAACAAAGGATATGCCTTTATCCAATTTTTGCAGGAATTCCACTTTTTGTGTTTGATGGACATCGAAACATGCTTTCGCTTTGTAGATCCTTTGGCATCTCCAGAATAGGAAACTCTTTTTGACATAATTGAAAGGTTCAAGCTTACTTTTTATAAAATTGCTCTAACAGTCTGCAAAAAATAATATGTCGGATCCATTTAGAAGATTAAGGAACAAACGCTTATGTGCTTGCGTAAACGCATTAATGCGTTTACGCATGTGCAGAAAGTTTGTAGCTTTGAGGTTCGGATTATAGATCGTTCCGGATTATGGATGTCCGGATTAAAGATACTGTATTACAAAATTTGTAATATAGATGACTTCATCACTTGCAGATGATCTGGAGAAAAACATTTAGAAATGGAATAATCAACAATGGATATAACAACCACAAAACATTTGTACATGCACATCTTTTCATTCAGAAGCAAAGTACGTACAATGGGCTATATAACAAGTCTTATGGTTTATGTCCTTATTCTTATGGTCCAATATCCAATATTATGTTTCCAAATAAGAACTTCATTTAAAATTCTGGTTTGGAATTTCGAATGGCATAAATATGGTTCACTACCAATTACTCCTTAGAAGAAAATTGGAGCGATTTGATTAACCCTTCAGCACACGCGCATCACTGGGCAACGTTATTGCACGCGCGGGACAAATTTTACCTCAGTGTTTGTTTTTCGGAGTTTACCACAGCGTATAAATAAATGCGTCCACCCCCCCTACCTGAGTTCAATTATTCAAATAACATCGTTTTGAACAATTCTGACGTAGTGCGACAACATATTTTTACAAACTATTTCTTAGGGTGAAGGTTTACTGCATCTTCTGTTCCTGTCAACCTTTTTACTCCAGTTTTGAGTTCTTTCGAGAGAGACAGAATTGCAGCCCTTTTTTTAGGACATGTTCTTTTACAAGCTCTAATGCTAAATCTTTGAGAAAAGCTCTTCGGTTCATATTCACTTGGTCATTATTTGATCGATGAATAATAAAAGCATTCATACCTGCTATGTTCAATAGTCTGAAAAATACCATTAGAGGCCAGCGGCGGCGTTTTCTTGAAACAGACCATGTTCCACATAACTCATCAACAGTATAAACATCATCTTTTGTAGAGTTGCAGAAAGTTATCATTTCGAGCTTGAGCTGCTCTTTAGACAGCATAGTTGACAGTGGATCGATTTGATTATCCTTATGCATGAATGATAGACCGATTTACTCTTTTTTGGAACATATGAAGTAAGAGTTCATTCTTTACCTCTAAACCCAAAACACGAAGAGTACAGAAGTCTGTTTTATTTGGCAGAAATTCTTCTGGAATTTCACGCTTATATTTTCGAAGTGCCCCAAAACATGTCAGTTTGTGCTTTTTCAATAATTCATTGGCCAAAGGAATGCTCATGTACCAATTGTCCATAGTTATATTTCTTTCAGTGCCCTTTATGGGTGCAATAAGTTTTTGTACAACATCCAATGCCACATTTGATTGTCTAAGCCCGACAGGCTGCTGACCTGCATAAATTTCTAGGTTGTATGCGTAAAATGTATGAGAATCGCATAAAACAAAAGCTTTTATTCCATATCTTGGGAGCTTACTTTTTATATATGGTCTGAATTGAAATTCGCCTTTCTCGAAAGGGCTCTCTAATATTTTTGTCTATAGTACAATATTCAGATAAAAGAATATACTTTTCGTATGTTTTTGATAAATATTTCAAAAACATTTCTAATAAGTGCCAAGTCTAGCCGTCATCTTTAGCTCTGCTTTTAAATTTATGTCATCAAACCTAATACATCTCAACAGGAAGTGGAATCGGTTGATAGACATTGTTATTTGAAAAACAGTTATTTCGCTTCCGTCAGCTGACCACAAATCTTTGCTTTGAGAATTGCTACTCTTAGCACTCCAGCGTAATATAATAGGAAAAATAACGTCTTCAATTCAGCTATGTTTGTCTCTTGCTCATCAAGTTTTCTAGAGAATTTGTTTCTTATTGATGAAATGCAAATGTTTGTTGATTTCAACAAATCTTCCATTAGTTCTTCATCAAAAATTTGCAATAAACACTCAGTTGGATTTTTCAAATTGCTAAAGCTTTTCTTGACATCGAGTAAATGTGTCACTATATTGTGCGGACGTGTCCGAACATTTTTCGAGGGTAATTTTCAAACATAAAAATCATCTGATCTCAAAGAAGATATGCTCCCTAAATCATGTGAATCATCATATTACTGGTCAGAATCAGTTTCGGGATTACTTTCAGAAATATTATCGCACTCAGAATCGGAAACTTCAATTTCGCTATCAGTTTCAACACTAGCAAGAAGAACCAGTAGTCGCTACTGTTCTTGCTCGTACGCACTCATCTCAATGTCTCTCTAGAAGTGAAACATTAGCACACGCGCGGAGTACCTACAATCCCATTACACATTCCTTCGCCGAAAACACAAAATCCCAAGGACGCGGGAAAAATTCCTCTGGACGACCCCTTCCTAACCTTGATCTTAAAATGTATATGAAGTATTAGAAAGGTCACGTACGACCTTTCCTTATTTTCTAAGAAAAGACTACACATGGGGTGGATTTTACCCCAGCGCGTGTGCTGACGGGTTAACCGTAAACTGAATAAAGTATTAGCATTCTTGCTCTAATTCTGTTGAAGGGGGAAAATACTGCAAAACGTCCTAGCATTAGTAACATTCCTGTTTGGCTTATCATTGTTAGTTAATAGTTTGAAGATGATTAGCAGCATTCTAAAACTTTTGATTTGAACAAGAGTTGTCACCATTTCTATGACTACTACCAATTTTTATTAGTTTAAAAAAATGCTTAATTTACATTGAACCATTTTAATATTTACATTATGAATACATGTAATAAAGTTATAACTTTTTTAATGATTCCATATGTGCAAATGTAGAGATCAAAAGATTATTTCTTATTTAAGTTTTTAAAATTTGTTATATTATATTGTTGCGTCCGTACGGGTTCATTATGAAATGAATGCACAACTCCGATGAAAAATGAACAAGATTTATTATTATCACAACAAAAAATGCTTAAATTTCC